AGAATCTAAAAAAGATTGTGTGAGCTCTGTTGATTCTGCTCCACAGAAAACTGCTCTAGCAACTGCTACTTAGCTTTACTTGCATGTAGTACTCTTGCAAAACTAACACCGCTGAAAAAAAGGAAGGGTGGGGGCAATGATAAGAATTCCTAAGAAGGAACTAGGGGAAAAAAGATTGACTCAAACAAATGTAATATTAGTATTCAGCCACAATGAAATAACCATACCAAATGGTCTAAATAGAAAAATCTAGATATGACTTAAAATCTCTCCGTTTAAAGTATACTATAACACCCTTGGGTCTCCTGATCATTAGAGCTTTTTTCATGACTAAAGAAGCACTTCTGAAAAATAAGGACCTGAATATATGCTATCAAAGCCAATACTTGGATATTTTTTTTAGCGTTACTGAAGGAAGCTAGAAATATATGTTTTAACCACACTCCATCAGGCTCACCCATTTGACTTAAATGACAACTAGAACTTCTCCAGTTTCAAACATATTAATGGGACATGAATGCCATAGTATTAGAAGCCTTCCCCAATATAATTTGTTTTCCATAGAACAATGTGAATTCCTCAATCTTTCTTACTCTTATGCAGATTCTGACCAGCAATCTCTTATTTTGTAGTAACATCCCTGCAGTAAGGTTTATACTTAGGCTGCAAAAATCCAGATTGCTAGCAATGAGAAATACTGTACAGATAAGTAATTTCAAGGAGTTTTGTATCAAATATAGTAAACCTACCTTTAAGGCCTTCTGCAAAGGTCCAAGAGCTCTTTTTAAGACTTCACACAGAGACTCCCAAATACATACAATCTTTCCCCAAATTTACATGCCCAGCCTATGGCAGTTAGCAAGTATACTGTATTTATCCATCTGTCATGTGACAGCTGTCTACTTCCAAGCAATATCTTTTATATTTATATATATGGAGGCAGCAGGAAGTAGGATAGATGGGACGTTACTCCTAAGCAAACCTCAGGACCCTTTTTTTATTCTCCACCCACTCCGGTTTCCCTATAATGGCCATGATCCTCAATTTCCACCTCTCTAAACAACTTTTCTGCTTTACTCCCCACCACCCTCTTTAAATAATAATAAAATAATAAAAATTTCCGGATTACACAAAATAGCCATAGCAGACACAAATCTCAGGTTGAATTATCTCCATGTTCATATGGGGACGCCTTCAATTAACCAGTATCCTTACTGACTGTGCCATCTTTACTCAACTTGTATCCTCTTCCAATTACTGACAAACCTCTCTACCTATCCAAACGGCGGGCATGTCTGTTGATTGGCAGCCTCGTCCTTACCCTGACATTAGGTCGCCTTCCCCCAGCCTACCTGCTTTCTCTTTTCCGAAGCCCCGTTGAGCAGACAATCGCGCTGTAAAAGTCTCTCCCCGAGGTTCGTCTTTTGCCTTCAGTCGACTAGCCCCCCCACTAAACCCATCACCACACTTACTCTTCCGCCGCCGAGCACAATCACGGGCCATTTCCACCCTCTCGTTGAGGAACCCGCCCGAATTCTCCCCAAGGTCCAATTCCCCCACCCCCCTCCCCCGTGCGCATACAAGATTCTCTCGGTTCTGAAGGATCCTTCTCTGTCTGCCAGTCGCAATCACTTACAGTTTCGGATATCGGAGATAAATACGGCCAGGCCCCGCATCCCGTCTCCCTTGGAAACGGCCGGCATGGTGACGATAGAGGATCGGGACCACGGCGATGCTCCGTTCCGCGCTCGAACCTGGCCCAGCTGCACCGAACCGACCCAAACATATCCGATTGGTCCCTCGTTCCGTCCGTCACGAAACGTTTTCACTTCCTATTGGGCAGAGGTGCCGCTTTTCAAACCTGCGGTGCTTTCTATTGACAGAAATAAGTCAGCCTTCTAAAGGATTGGTCAATAGGTTTAAATCCCGCCTGCTCTTCTCCCTATTGGATCTGGTGAATCTTAATGTCAAATAAGTCCCCTCTACAGCTCTGCATTTTCCATTGGGGATAGGTTCACAAGAAGCCCGCCTAAGCCTGCCTCCCCCTGTGCCCCTTCGGTTTGAATATCTTGATAGATTTTAAGAAATGTCATTCAAAGGCCGCCCCGCCCATTTCCTCCTCGACCTGAGTGACGCTTCTTGCGAAATCGGCAAGCTGAACCTCCGGTCGGTGCTGGGCGGGGGACGGTTCTTGAAAGCTGTTATTGGGCAAGAAATCCACGTCCTCCAAGCCCTTCCGTGGCTCATTGGCTGAAAAGGCTGACGGTGGAACGGCGGCAAAAGAAAGGCTGTGGAGAAGAGGCTTGGAAACCGAGCTGCCTTTCCTGGGAAAGAGCGACGGGGGCCGTCATCAAATTCCAGCCAATTGGCTTTGAGAGTAGAAGGCACAACGATCAAGGGCGGCCGGTAAAAGAGGGCGATTTCTGTCTTCCAGTTCCTCAAAATATTTTTCTTTCCCCTTTAAGGGCAGAATTTACTTAAGGAAAGAACCAGTGTAACTCTTATTTCATTAGGACTAAAACCACAAGTATATTCCGGTTTTTTTAGGATGGGCCACAATATTCTCCAGCGACTACATTTCTACTTCCTTTTCTTTCCCATTCATTTAGTTTTTTTCCTAGTGGAGAAATGTTTTCCCAGTAATACTTTTATTAAATCATTTTTCTCTCCTTTCCATGAGAGTATGAGTTTAGGCACGTGTAAACCTTTGGCTTAGCTTATTTGCTACATAGAGCCTTTAAGTTACTGAATGTAGCTTCGAAAACTGAAACAGTTTGATTAACGCATAATGCTAAGATGAAATGTTAAAGCTTTGTTTGACATCTAATGGCATGGTCTGTATATTATGCTAAGGTATCATTTACTAAGATACAAGAAATTATGATTTAGTGTTATGTGGAAACTAGCCATGAATATATTTATTGCATTCATATCATTCAACAGCCCCTCCTAGAGAAGGAATTATTTGGGGGATATTAAAAAAGGCAGAATATTATATTTTCCCAAAAGAATAATAGAAAATCTTAGGCAGAAATCACCCCCCAAGTCTCTCTGCCCCAAGCAGAAACCAGCTTTTAGAAATGCAGTTTTAGTGATTCATTCAGGAAGGGGGGGGGAGGAGCTGATGGGATTACAAAGATCCTTAAAATCTCCACCCCCCCACCCAAAATCTAAAGATATGGCCTTTAGGATATAATAGGATTAACCCACCACTATTAGAATACCAAAAGGGCACACTGGACCTCAGGTCAAAGTTCATTGCATAGGAACAACTCCAAACAGAAAGCCCAAAGGAGGTATAAAAATCCACCACTCCCAGCTCCCATTTTGTCAGCCACTCCAGAAACATGCTGCTATCACTGAAGTTTCTGGCAACAAAATAAACAAGAACTTTCTTTCTAAAGCAGTCTCCATTTTGTTTATTTTTGGATTGGACTGGACCCTGATTTTTCTTTCAACATTGCCTTTTCTTTGGGAGTTCAAATTGGCATATATGGATCCCGGTGGCAACTCTTGTGAGGTCATGACAACAGCTGGAAGACCCCTGCCCTACCTACAAATTGGGTTGTAGATAATAGATGTTCCCTAGTAAGGTGCAGACAAGGAAATTTGTGCTCATATTAGATATTGGCCCAGCCTATAATGGCCAACATTGTGGTGAATACCATCTGGCAGTCCAAAGAAATAAATGAGGCTGAAGACACGCCAGTAGGGATTGAGAGTCGGGCTCAGAGTATCAAGAATCAATTGGGAAAGCTACTAGCATCAAAGGCTTCCCTCCCCAAAAGAAAGCTGTCTCTTTCCATGGGTGAGTCACCCGGGAAGGTAAAGGGTGGAGGTAGAATTCAATAGCTGCAGCATGTGATAACATATAGGAAACAGAATGCATAGTAGCACATCTGCTTTGTTCAGATGTGGTTTTAGAAGGTTTCAGATTCAGTCCATTGCATTTCCAGGTGAAAAGGCCTCTAGTAGTAGAAGATGCACAAAAAAAAAAAATCTTTTCCCCCTTCAGATCATGTAAAATTGCTGCCCTCAGATCTCAGCTTTATTGGATACAACTCCCAGAATTTTTAGCCTGTATAATCAAGCTGGCTGAGAATAATGAAGGTTTGTAGTTCAACACTGGGCTAAATAGGCAGTGGACCTCATCTGATCTAAAGCAGGTACTGCAATAGTGGTTATTGCTATTAACCCAGACAGGAGAGACCATCTTGCCTGCAGGTAGTATCTCACATCAGCATTGTCTTGTTTCTAGCATGGTCTGGTTTTGGGTTCTAACAACATGCAGAGGCACTGCTTAAAAGCCAGTCAACCCTTCTGCATACATTGCCTTGATTCAAGCCCAGGAATTCACACTCTTGGTTTACTTTTTGGGAAAAATATATGAGTCTTTGCTCTCTGCCTATGCTTTTTAAAAACTCATTTCTGATTCCAACCCAAGCAAATGGGGAAAAAAACCTTCCCATTCTCTTCTTCATCTTCTGGTTCCTAGTATAGTGCTGGAAAAACATACAGGTTTTCTGTGTATATGGCTCTTAATGTTGCTTTCTTAAATAAGATATTTGTTCAACTAGATAAGAAATTGTACCTTAAGATGTATGTCACTGAGATTTCAAGAATCCTGGCTTTGTATTTGTTTGATTTATTTCTTCCAGTGACTTTTCCTAAACATAACTTTCCCTAAAGACTTTGAAGTAAGACTTCTTATGGGTTAGGGTTCCAACAGAGTGGCTGAGACAGCATCTAAAACAGTGGTTCTCAACCTTTTTAATGCCGTGACCCCCAACCGGTTGTAAGTCAAGGACTACTCAACCGGTTGTAAGTCGAGGACTACTCAACTGGTGCAGCACCATTTGCAGAATGGGACTTTTGGCAGGCTCAGCAGCAGGCTCAGCAGGGCAGAGACAGCCTGGACAATTCCTATTGGCTTTTGAAAGCCAATAGAATTAGATTCTATTCAAGAGAGTCTATTCTATTGACTTTCAAAAGCCAATAGAATAAAAGGGAGTAGAACAGCTAAGGAAAAGGGGGGAAAAACTGGCGGGCTGCGTTGTTTGGCGACCCCCGTGAAATGGTCGTTCGACCCCAAATGGGGTCCCGACCCACAGGTTGTGAATTACTGATCTAAAAAGATCATTTGAGGCTTGATTTGAACTTGTGAACTCTGAGGTAGCAGACAGGGTTCTCCGTGACATTAATTTTGCCATCGGCAGTTTGAATTCATCCTCCACTAGTTCCTCTGTACGCATGCATCTGCAGTTATATTTGAGAGGGAGTTAATGCTACCTTAAGGGAGGAAGTGGTATTCTCCATCTCCTGAAGAAGGTGGCTCATGAACTGCTTGTATTGGATAACTTCTGCCACGTTTCCAGACTTCTTTTTCCCCCAGGAAGATTATGAAGAAAATAATGGGGTATCAGTTGCAGAAAATATTGGATAAAGTGGATAATTGGATCTCTTTCATTTCACTTTTCTCAGATCTGGGTGTGGTACAGAAACTGTTTCAGCTGCTCTTGTGGGATGAATTTAGTTGGGCCGTGTCCTTGTTCAATTAGATTTCTCAGTAATGTTCTGTATCATTGATCAGATACTTTTCTGGACTATTTAAGAGATGGGTGTGGATGTGGATGAGTGGCTAGTGGTGCTATTCTGCAGTGGTTCCATTCTTTCATAAGTGAGTGGTTGGTTATATTTGGTAATATCAAGAGAAGAAAAGTGAGACCTTGGGGCATGTGAACATACAGTGCCCCAGGACTTTATTCTTTCCCCTCTGCTATTTATTATTTAAATGAAACCACTGGGAAAGGTCATTTGTTAGTTTAGAGTGAGAGTTCAACAATATGTACTGTATATAATAATACCAAACTTTATAGCCTTAACAGAGCAGGAAATGCAGAAGAGATCCTCAGGCAGTGTGTGAAAAGTGAGAGTGAATGGGATGCAAGAAACTAGATTAAACTGAATCATAGCATGAGGATGTTATTGGTTGTTCAGAAACAATTGGTCTTATTTTGTGCCTCAGTGTTGGCTTTAGAGAGGTTCACATTCCTTGACAGAGTTAGGATAAAAATGGGGATCCTTCTATATGATCAGCAGGTGGATTTTATTACCAGGAAAGCCTTTCTCAAGTGCTGCCTAGTGTTTCCACTGTGTTCCTTGGAAGTGGAGGACATTGGCAATAGTCACTCTTATTCTCATTACCTTTGAAGATGATCTAAAAACTGTAGTTGGTGTTCACAGGCTGTGAGCTGAGATCCGCTTCAGCAGGGCAGCATTATGCTATGTTTTCTGCATTAATGAACAAATTTCCTTGTATAAAATGCTGAAGGCTAAAGCCTTTCATGATTTGGACTGTGCTACTTTATGAATGGCCTTCTTCAAATAGGTGCTGTATTATTTCTTTGGACTTCTTTGAATTCTCTCCCACTTCAGGTAGGGGAATGGGAACATGTTTTACTGTTGCTCTATCTCCTGGAACAGTCTGCTCCCTGTTCTACTATTCGAATTTATTGTAGAGAGGAATAGGATTTTATGTGAGTCACCAAAATTTTGTTAAAATTGGGGGCAGAATATAAATAATGCAATAAAAAAATAAGACCAGATGCCTCCCCAACATTTTGGACTTCAATTCTCAGAATTTTCAGTATAATTTTCTAAGATTTCTATACAGTAATCTCAAAATCTTAAGTTACCAAAGAATATGTTAACATCAAGGCATTAGAAAGTTCTTTGCTATATCTATCTCTCTTCAATGTGTTATTTAAGTAATCCAGTATTATATCTAAGGATAATGAATGTACTTTTTCCCAACCCAGAGTTGAGCCCCATTTTACCAATGAAAGCCCTAGTCTGAACTTGAAGCATTCTTCTGCTTGCACTAATGTTTCTCTCCTGAATCTAACTGATGGGGAACGTGATGATTCCACCACGGAGAATGAATCCACAGATGATGGAGGCCTGCTGTGGGGAGCAGGGGACGAAAAAAGGGATCTTCTCCAGCACTGGAGATGGAGAATCCACCAATGGGTTTAGACTGTATTCCTGCCCAATCAGATCAAGTCAGCCAAAGTTGCCACGCTCGTCCTGGACCATAGAGATCCCAGTCTTGACTTGATCTCGCCCAGGACAAACGTGCAGATTTGGCTCTTAGGCAGGTACAGTCTCCATTGGTGGATTTTTTCACAGTTGCTGAGCTAGGCTGTACTTAGTATAGAATTGTTTTCTGTTATCAATTAATCCATTCAGGAACATCCTAAATTCCAAATTTTCAACAGATTCCTGAGTGAGGGGGAACAGAAATTGAGTGCCCAGGAGGGAACTCCATTTTCCTTTCCTTCTTCCTTCCAAACCGAGCAATAATTCTTACCCAAGAGTCCCAGAATTAATTAAGGCTCCGGTGGAATCGCAGAGGTTAATTTCTAAACCGGTCTCAGATCGGTCTCCCTTGGGATTGGAGTTTGTGGCTGCCGCTCCGGTGATTTGTTGCACAGTAGGTGGGGGGTGTTTTTCCCCTTTACTCGACATGCTCAGATTCCTTTTAGGGGACCTTTACTATTTTGGGAGCTGCAGCCCCGAAGCTTATTCAAGCCGGTATTCCCATTCATTTGTCTCAGTAGCTTGCTCTCTTCAGTCTGTTCCTCTCTGGCCGCAGGCGCATTTGCATACAAGGGTGCCAATTCCAATACAGGGTGCTCCCATTTGGCCTCTCGTCGGCTCCCAGGGTCTTTACCAAAATCCTGGCGGTACTAGCAACTCATTTACGAATGATACCAGTCAGAGTGCAATGTTACTTGGACGACATATTAATCCAGTCATCGTCCATCCAGTCCGCAAAGGTGGACCTCAAACTGGTAGTAACACTACTCCAAGACCATGGGTTCTCCATAAATTTTCCAAAAAGTCACATGTTCCCCACAAATTGACTGTTGCATCTCGGGGCCATTATAGACACAGTGGAGTGTCAGTGTACTTGTCCCAGGAACTCCGGAACAGCATAAGAGACTCCATCCTGAAATTACACGGGGGGCGGTCAGTAACATTGGTCAGTCTTTTCCAACTGTTAGGCAAAATGATCTCGGCCATAGCAATCGTCCCCTGGTCCAGACTTCACTCCAGGGAACTACAGTGGTTCATGCTCCCATTTCAGAGACAGAACCTCAGTTCCTCCCAACGACAAACAAGTCTCCCAGCACAGATGGTGCGTTCTCTCATGTGGTGGCGATCAACCGCCATGCTCAGAGGGTTATGTTTCAGGGAACCAGATCAGATAGTGATAACTACAGATGCCAGTCTATTCGGCTGGGGAGCACACCTGCGTCCGTAGTGGGCTCAGGGCCGCTGGTCTCGCTCAGACCTGCGCCACAACATAAATTGGCTAGAACTAGGAGCTATACATCTAGCCCTGCGTTCACTTCCACAGTCTGGTGAAAGGGCGTCATGTACTGGTCCTCATGGACAACGTGGCCGTCAAGGCTCATGTGAACTGCCAAGGGGGCACCAAATCCCAGGCCTTACTGACCGAGTCACTCTTACTGGTTTCTTGGACAGAACACAATCTGGCCTCCATCAGGGCCGATCATATTTCAGGGGAGGCGAACACTCAAGCCAACCTTCTGAGCAGAGCTTACAGTGGATCACTCAGAGTGGCGTCTTCACCCGAGACTCTTCAGAGAGATCTGTCACCATTTCGGCCTTCCACTTGTGGACCTCTTTTCATCCCCGAGCAACGCTCCGCTGTCTCGGTTCTTCTCCCGGTTTCCGTCTCCAGGGGCGGAGCAGACGGATGCTCTTTGGAGCCCATGGGCTCAGGGTCTGCTTTATGCATTCCCTCCTCTACCTCTTATCCCGACGGTAATCCGCAAGCTTCTTCAGGAGCGAGCAGAGATACTCCTAGTGGCCTCTTATTGGCCAAGGAGGCATTGGTTCGCTGATCAGATGGATCTCTCCCTAGCAGAGAGATTCAGGAATCTCTCCCTTGGCGGATTCCTCCGGAACAGGTCTCTCTCAGTCAAGGGACCATCCTTCATCCGGACCCCCAATGGCTCCAGTTAGCCGTCTGGCACTTGAGTGTTCGCTCTTAATGCAGGAGATCTGCTCGCCGGGGGTCATTATTGTCATCCAGGCCTCCCATCGTCCTTCCACAACCGGATATACGAGGCCACATGGAAGAATTTCCAATCATGGTGCTCTGGCCGTCACTTATCACTTTTGGAACTCACGGTTCCACATATTCTGGACTGTCTGTTACAGGGCCTAGAGAAGGGCCTGGCCACAAACACGCTGCACAGACAGGTTGCTGCTCTTTCCACGGTCCTCACCTTTGACTCGGTGGGGTCCTTGGAACATCATCCCTTAATTCGCTCTTTCCTTAAAGGGGCTTCTAATTCCAGGTCTCCTACGGTACACAGGTACCCTTCATGGGAACTACCACGGGTCCTTAGGGCTCTTACCAAGCTTCCCTTTGAGCCCCTGAGGACATGCGACATCCACTACCTGTCCCACAAGGTGGCATTCCTAGTGGCAATCACATCGGCATGCCGTATTTCAGAATTGGCAGCACTTTCTACAAGGGATGACCTGTGCATTTTTTCACCAGGATAGGGTGGTCCTTCGACTCCACCCTACTTTCATCCCAAAGGTTAACTCTCTGTTCCATAGGTCCCAGAAAATAGTGCTGCTGGATTTCTGCCCCAATCCATCACATGTACTGGAACGGCAATGGCATAGCCTGGATGTCCACAGGGCACTTAGGTACTATATTTTGCTGACAGCAACATTCGCAAATAGGGAGCCCTTTTTGTATCCTTCCATTCTTTCTCCATGGGGCGGAAGGTTTCCTCTTCCACGATTGGCAGGTGGATCAGGGAGTGCATTGCTGAGGCATATCAAGCTGAGTCATTGCTGGCTCCACGAGGGGTCACGGCCCACTCTACACAGAGAGCGGCCATTTCTGCGGCATGGGCCACCCAGGCACCCATTGAGGATGTCTGCAGGGCGGCTACATGGACTTCATCATCTCCATTTATACAACACTACAAAATTGATCGGTTTGCCTCGGCTGAGGCTTCTTTCGGTAGGAGAGTTCTCCAACAAGTTTTACATCAAAGGGCCACACCGGACCAGTCTACTACCCACCCTCAGGGACAGTAGGCTTTGGTATGTCCCATTGGTGGATTCTTGATCTCCAGTGCTGGAGAAGGGGCGTTGTCTTACCTGAACGCCTTTTCTCAGCACGGAGATGGAGAATCCAGTCCCACCTTTGTAGGTTATCAGACCTAGGGTTAGTTAGTTAATTTTTTTGTGAGCCACAACGTCTTGCTGTCAGTCAATGGCTACGCTCGCATCAAGACTGGGATCTCTATGGTCCAGGACAGGCGTGGCAACTTTGGCTGACTTGATCTGATTGGGCAGGAATACAGTCTAAACCCATTGGTGGATTCTCCATGTCCGTGCTGAGAAAAGGCGTTCAGGTAAGACAACGCCCCTTCTATTTCCCATCAAGCCAGTTTGGTCAAAAGATGAAGATGATACTTCCAGACAGCCCGTGAGGCAATGAGTCACAGTTGCACATATCTTACCTGTTGCTGCTTTGTCAATTAAGTATCCAACCCTGAAGCATTGTTTTAATAATAGACAAATAAAAAAAAATCCCTCACCTCCCCCCAGAAAGTATCTACGGCACTTTAAATAATAGCTTGATTAAGTTGCTAGAGCTACTACTTTATACCATGATTTTTATTTTTGAGGTGCATAAAACTCCTTTTAGTGCTATAATTAACTAACAGGTATTCCTTCTACAAATCCCCCACTCCACCCCAAAGTTTGTATTCTTGATGGGCTTTGAGTCTATATATCTTTTCAGTCCACATTCCACTTTAAAGATATTATTCCCAAGTCTCTCATCTTTCCTTGAACAGAAAAGGTCAATCCTGCTGGAACTTCTAGTTTTGTCTATATCTGCTTTTCTCTCTTCCAGCTTCCATATTCAGAAGAAAATTAGGCTGGTATTAATATATAGCAACCAAGGTTTAAGCCAAACAAAGAATCCTTTACTGATGCTTCTGCAAATTCAGGAATGCTTCCAGAGGGTGTCTTGGATGTCTGGTCAGAGGTTGCAATTGATTCAAGAAACAGAGGATCATAATACTGTATTTTTAGCAGTACAGTGGACTTTCTATAACATCCCAGAAAATAATTCAGTTGTGGGCTTCCTATAATATTCTAGAAAATAATTCCTATTTCTTTATGTTGGGATTAGCATTTCTTTGGACAAGCAATTTGGATGTTTAATTTGCTTTTCTTTTAATTTGCTGTTAACTTCATATTCTCACCAATCCTGAACTTAACAATGTATTTATATTTTTTTTCCTGATAAGAGCTTTTCTTGAAGATTTTCTTGCAGTCATCCTTCTATACTGATGTGTTTGTGCCATTCCTTTTTCTTCATTTACTTTCTACACCTAAGCATGGCCTTTTATATTGCTCCAAATATTTCTTTGTCCCCTTTGCCTTGATTCCTCAGCTATAAAAGTATACAAGCTTAATTTCAATTTTATTGACTCTTGTATCACTGCAAGATTCTAACTATCAATAATGAATTGTTTGGGTCCCTTAAAAAACTCTTCTAGGTCTCTAAGATATTGAGAATGTTTTTCAAATGATGCTGAAGAGCAGCTGTCCCAGTTGAGAGGAGGGTTCAAGCAGGGAATTAGCTTGGACTCATTATGTAAACAAGGTAACCATACCTCCTATGCTTGGAGCCTTGTCTTTCCTAGGCAAAGCTGCCAGTCTGGGGAAATTCCTGTGAAATAGACATAGAATAATAAAATAGTTAGTTTGAATTCTACATGTGTGGGTCTGGTTGTGCAAGCCTGACAGCTGCCCTCTTTCCATTTCAAAAGCATTGGAACTTAAATAAATGTCTGGAAGTGTGCATTAGTCAGAAGTAAGTGGTAACTGTAATTTGCTTGATCAGCTCCCTCTTATACTCTCTCCCAGCAGGAAGTGGGTAATAGTGATCTCTACTAACCAAGGATTCTAACAGCAGCCTCAAGGAGAAGACATCCAAGGTTACGGGCCATCTTCAGAATCTGCAGGTTTGGAAGCTGTAGGTTACTTTAGACCTGAAGTTTTAGACTTCCAGGTTCACCGTTCTCTTTCTGTTTTTATAGGCAGGGATATAGAGTGGAATTAGTCTCTTTCCTAAGGCTACCAATGCAAGAATGCTTCAGTCTGACTCACTTGGCCAATTTGAAGGAAGAGAAGCTAAATTCTGTCCATCCTGTGAAATCAGATTTAATTTTGCTTCATTTGGTTGGCTTTACTCTTTGGGCTCTGCTTGGAAAACCTGGTTGCTGGTGTCCAAGTAGTGTGGGAGCAAGTTCTGAGAGCAATTCAGCTTTGGGTGCATAAGCTGTGGGCTCGCATTTACAAAACTAGAGTCCTGTTAGACCCTGCTCCAAAATTTGGTCAAGCTCCTACCTGCTTGTTTAGGCAGAATGATCCGGCTTTCTATGTAAAATCTGCCAGGCTTTCAGAGACCAACCTGGAGCATTGTGAGATCACATTCTGGGTTTTCCTTTGCTTTATCCATTGCAGTAAGTCCTTAATTAATACATTACATGTAAATACAATAATTCATATATAGTAATAACACAGTTATCCACAAACCAAACATAATTGTTCCAAACCAATTTGTAGGCACTTCTTTTCTCTAGGCAAAAACCTTCCTGGTGTATCTTCCAACAGGAGCTGTAGGTCAAGGAAGATTCCTTGACTTTTGAATTAACACCTAAACTATCGTTCTGACAGCCTACAGGCATTGTCTCAGAATTATTGCATCTACATGCAATAATTATTTTATTTATTTATTTGTTAAATTTATTTGCTGTCTATCTGCTGTGGGGCTACTCTATACAGCTTACAATAATAAAAAAGAAAATGAAAGGAATGTAAATAGAACAGAAGTAAATAATAGAACTCACACAATAAACAATGAAAAAGGAGCAAAAGGAAAATATACATCAATATAGCAAAAAAAAAAATGGGTGAGTAGAGAGCAGAGGTCAAGGGGTAGGGGGAGTCTGCCATCAATTCAACAGCCACCTCCAGCGTGGAATTTCCCCCATTTGGTCCCAAGGTCAACCAGCAGAATCAGTCTTCAGGCTCTTATGAAAGGATAGGAGGCTGTGGACAGATGTTACCCTAGACCAGGGGTGTCAAACTCAATTTCATTAAGGGCCGCATCAGTATTGTGGTTGCCCTCGGGGGGGGCGGGGTGTGTGTGGCCAGGATGGGTGCAGCCTACTGGGTGGGCGTAGATGGAGTGGGTGTGGCCTACTGGGTGGGCATGGCCAACTCTACATCGTTCGTGTCAAGGGTGCCTGTGGGGGCCTGACCAGGAGTGGGACAGATCTGAGGGTCTCTGGCAGAAGGGGGTGGGACCGGGGCAAGCACCAAAGCATGGTGCATTTCTTCATTCCTCACAAAGGGTGACATCTCCCCAGCATACACCCAGGGGGTGGGGCCAACACAGCAGGGGCTGGTTCCTCGCTGTTTCTAGACGGCCTTGTGGAGCTAAAACTGAGTGCGTTTCAGTATAGATGGCCACTACAAAATTATACACTGGCTCCCGGCCAGCCTGGGCCAGGCCAAGGCAGCGGGGGCCATTCCCTCACTGTTTCCAGGATGGCTTTGCAGGCCGCATTGACATGTCTACCCTAGACAGTAAGATGTACCAAAGGATGAGTACTGCAGTAGAGAAGACTCTTTTTCTAATCCTGATAGAGTTCTTTGACTGGTGGGATCTGAAGTAGGCCCTCTCTGCCATCTTGAATAGGATGGGCTTGTCCTAGCAGGACAAGGTGATTCATCAGGTAGCCTGAACCTATGCAGGTTTTATCATAATTTGATATTGTTTGTAAGAGGGCATTGCTCCATTGTAAGCCAGTTAAGACCAGACTTGCAGAACCAGATGGCTGAAGCAGAGCTCCTTGCCAAGTACATTTTTTCTCTAGAAGAAAACAGTATAAGGAAAAAAGGGCAAATGCTGCCAGATATCTCAGAGCACACAAGGTAGGAGATGCAGTGCTGCCTTTAGAATTGCTGAAGCAGAATTTAAGATGTATTTTTGCTTTTATTATATATACAGTGAAATGACAGGGACAATTTCAAATATTAAAATAATTTTCTTTTTAAAAAATAATCCCAGAGCATGGAGATTTGGATGTGGGAGAGAGTTATTGAGGTGCTCTGTTTTTTTCCAATGCTGTAATAAAATGGATATTGAACTATTCCTTTGTTAGAGTTTCAAATAATCAAATTTATTATTTAAAAGAGAGCGAGAAATGGGATAATTTTCAGTCTCCTCCGTGTCCCAATTTCTTGAAAAGACTTTTATAGAAATGGAGATGCACAACATTAAATGCAAATCCATGTTAGCTCATTCCTTTTATTTGCTTCCTTGCTTGGCCACCTGACTTTCTTCCCCCTCCTGAAATTTCTTGAAGAAAAGCTGCGGAAAGGTGACAAAATCTGTGGAGAATGCCAAAATTAAGACCAGTATGCTAGAAGAAAACTCAGCCCTCTTGGAGGTGAGACAGAAGGTGCCCATTTTTGCCATCTCTTTGAAGCCTTTTCCTTTTTTCATCTTTGTCAAAGAATTCTCTTTCCAATAAAAAAAAAATGATGAAGCTTTTAGCAAAAGAGAGCCATTGTCTACCAGGCATTAAGGAGATTATAATTCAGATCCAAGGTCAACCATTGAAACTTGCTCAGGCTTACCTATGCACAAGATGATTTTGGAAAATTTAGAAATGAAACTGCGGGGAAGAGAAATAAGCACTCTCAACCGTGCTCGATTCCTTGTGGCAAAGTTTTTTTTTTTTAGCAACAGTGGCAGCGGCAGCACACTGCTGGCTCATATTTAGGCGATTGTCTACTAGGACTCCGAGAAGGAGTTAACTTTGGACTGGCTCTGAAGAGACTGTAGACCCACACCTGTAGACACACATATGATTGGTTTCTTCCAACCATATCTCTTTGAGGGGCTGGGCTGACCGAGGGAGGGCCTGGGGGTCTTTCAGTCCCCTGAAAGGGATACTGCTAAAAGAAACCAGAAGAGTTAGAACTAAACTTGCCAGTTTGAGTTTCTCATTCAAAGTTGGAGTAGAAATCTAATTAACCATCATGGTTATTTATGGTCATGTGATTTCTTAGTGGGTTATCTTGAGTATTATATGATTGACTGTCAACATAGCTATGTTCAGTTAGTTGCTATCCTCTGTAGACTTCTAAATAAAAGGTGGGGAAAGGAGGAGGAGGAAAAAGATGGTGCAAAGTCTCCATCTTGTCCATCTTCAGGGTTTTGGCACAACTGTCCCCTTTTTTAAATGCTGTAAGTTTCTGCAGTTTGTCCCTTTCATTTACCTTTTTATCAAATGCAAATGGTTGCAGATAGTTTGGATTCCATCACAAAAAAAGAACATAAAACCGCATTCTTCTGATGATTTGCTGAGTTGTATTTTCTAAAGGTTCACTTTGAGGTGAAGGATGTCTTTTAGATGAACAATATGTTCCTCCTCTTGCTTTAGCCCAATTGTGTACCACATCAGCAGCCAAGCCAAGGTGACCAATTGTTCCAGCAGCCCATTCGGCAGGAAGGAAAGGAAATGAAGAAACAGAACACTGAAGAGCAGCCTGTTTAATAAGATAGTCGGAATCACGTAATTGGAATCCTGGCCCAAGCTTGTTGCAATGCACATAACAAAATGGACAGGATTTAATCAAGTGATCACAGCTGCCTCATTGACTTATTTGACCCATGACCCTAAGGGAAATTAAAGTAATCAATACACACACACACACGCAAAAACAATTGCCACCAAGGATAACTTTTTATTTTAGCCTTTCTCAGGTTGGCATTCTCCAGGTATATTGGAAAACTACAATTGGAGTTCCTAACTAGCCTAGTTATATGGTTGGAAATTAAGAACATTGTAGTTTCTTACATCTTGATGTTAGGTTAGAGAAAGGTATTTTGTTGCCTTTGGTGCTCCCTTTTATTTTCTTTGTGGATTTGAACTCTGTAGAGTTTTACTGTATCAGATTGCTAATTGGAAAAGAGAACAGCATATAAATATACTGAATGCCCCCAAATTAATCTTATTCTTTCCCTTCCCCTACTTTGCTTAGGAGAAACTGCATAACTTGCAGCAGCAGGTTCAAGTTGAAGACTTTCGTTGGTAAGATCTCACGTTAATTGCTGGAACAGGGATGGCGATTGGGGTCTCCAAATAACTTTTGTACCTCATAAGTAGCATGGAGGCAACATCCCCAAGGTCAGCCATCTGCAGAGACTCCAGAGGTCCAATTCTCATCTCTTAGTACTTCTCTGAGGTAAGAATGGCAGGGCAGGGAGGATGTTTCAGGAATCAACAAGATATCCTCCAACCTGGTCTTTTTCTATCGTACTGACTCTAAGAAATGGATGTTGGAGATGGCCCAGAAGCAGGTGTTGTGGCTATTGGCTCAGCTGGGGGTACGCTTGGAGGGAGTGCTTCCCCAACGGGAAAGGACACAAGTGGAACAAGGCCAAGCACTCAGGATGCTGCGGGAGGAACTGGATGAAGTTTCTGCCTTTTCTTGAAGCTGGACAGCCATGTCTCTCCTCCAATCTCCAGTTCTCTTAAATCCTTTTGAGTTGTGGCCTCTTATTCCCAGTGAAAGAACTATTAGATTTAAGAGATAATGGAGTCAAGAATAATCCACTGTTTACTGTTCCATAGAGCTAAGTTTTTCAGTACAACTAGAGGTTTAATGAGATAACGATAGCAAGTTTTTGTAGTGGTGTTTGTTCCCTACATATTTATAATAGGGTTTTTTCACTGTAGAGGTATGATTTAGGAAAGTTGACTACAAATTCCATTATCCACACTGTATTGATGAAGTATTATAGTCTAAACCTCTGTAGATAATGTTAGTATATTATTTGTTAGTGCGTTGTTGCCCTGTAAATGATCACTGTATTTTTTTATTTTAAAAAGTAAATCTCTCTAATTTTTGTGGATCTTCTAAGGCAGTGGTTCTCAACCTGTGGGTCGGGACCCCATTTGGGGTCGAACGGCCATTTCACGGGGGTCACCAAACAACGCAGTCTCTCTTGAATAGAGACTAATTCTATTGGCTTTCAAAAGCCAATAGGAATTGTTCAGGCTGTCTTTGCCCTGCTGAGCCCGCCAAAAGTCCCATTCTGCAAATGGCGCTGCAAGTTGTCTGCAGCGAAGGCAAGCTGTCTGGAAGTTTCCACCTCTCCCTGCTGAGCAACTACTAAAAATGTAAGTAAAAGAGAGCCAGGGGTGGGAGGTGGGAGGCCGGCGGGCGCAGGGAGGGTTGCTGGCGCGCATGGGGCCCGGCGGGTGCCTTACCTCCCTTGGGCTGGGCCAGCTGGTGGCCCAGCCGGTGGTCGGCCTACGCCATCTCTGCCGCTTGCCAGCTACGCCTCGGCCAGCGCAGGGGGCGGCACCATGCATGTGCGGCGCTCCCGGGCAGGGAAAGTCTTCAACTTATGACCGGTTGGGTAGTCCTCGACTTACGACTGGTTGGGGGTTGCGGCATTAAAAAGGTTGAGAACCACTGTTCTAAGGGCAAGTTTCATTAATCTGCCAATGATCTCTTGTTTCTGCCTTTTTCCTCAGCAGGTCGTTTTCTGTAACAATGTACATCTAATTCTACGTCTTTTGCTTCAAAAGTATTAGATAATAGAAAATTTCAAATATCAGATTCAGGAAAACAGGATGTGTGGGAGTCCTCCACTGTATTTTTGAGAAAAATACCAATTCCAGATGAAATCCCTCATCTAGCTCTCCCACTTCCCCATAATAATGAAGAGTAAAAGAGTATAAAAGGCAGAGAAACAGGGAGTCTGCAGCCTCTCCTGAAACACAAATACCCCAAACCAGGAAGTCACTTTTCTTCTGCCAACCTATGATGTGAGAGGACTGTTTAAAATGAGGTTGCTCCAATCTCTAGACCTGCTCCAGAGATAAGAAAGCCTACTGTTCTACGAGGCGGTCAAACTTGTATCTCTCTGCACTGTTACAGGGCTATGAATTTGGAAGTTGTGGAAATTTGCCATTTCACTTACAGCTGCTGTCGTTTCCCTTCTATGCCACGGCAAAGCAGGCATCAGTGTCTCTCACTCAGGTCCAGTCAGACCTGGATGGACTCCTGGAAGACATATCCCGGCATCTTGGAAACACTGAAGAATATGGAAGCATCTGACCGACCTCCTTCTAATTGTGCTAGAGATGTTCCAGGTATTTAGTCCAAACCTCTGAGTCAGAACTGAAGAATACAGGCCAACCTGATAATGAGAATCAGAAGGCTAGACTAAGGAAGGATGTGGAGATTAGGGCATAGGCTTGATTCCCTTGATTTCATTTGGGGAAATGTCATAAAACCAGCAATTATTTGCTTAATTACAATTTATTAAACAAAGCATTACAGATAGTCCTTGATTTATGCCTGTAAGGCATAAACCACAGGTGGGCCTGTACTGTTGCTTGACTTCCCACCTGTTGGTGGTTGCAGGAGGTCTTCCAGTGACTTGCTTATCCCAGAAGAAGTATGCTGTACCAGAAAGGTTTCCTTGTGTTTCTGACTGGAAATTGTTAAGAGTAAAAATATATTTCATCTGTTGCAGCTCTGGCTTATATTTCCAGATTTACTTTCCCTTTTTTACTCAAAAAAATATACCATAGAAATTTGGCATTCTGTCTTTCAATTGTGACAGTACATTTTGAAATGTTTTTGGCATGACAGATGAAATGCTGGACTGGGTATAAACTAGATAAAACCAAACATACCATAGTATGACTTAGCATGATAGATTAACTGATTAAATCAATTTAGTAGCTTCCCAGTTGACACAGGGCAGTGTATACTAAGAGAAAACAATATGTAATAAATTCCCAACATTAAAATTCCCAAAGTAACTTCATTCAACCAAAGCCAATCTACAAACAATCAAATGGCACAAAATCTCCCATCTAGTATTTGGGCAAAAAGCCAGGTCTTGGCAACTTTAAGCTCCACCTTCCGAAATTCCTGAGCCAGTTCACAGTTTCTGAGCATGAGTTGAAATCCATGTATCTTAATGTTGCCAAGGTTGAGAAATGTGTTCTTATTGGATGGCCATGATGTATCAGAATAGCTACAATCCTTCTATCAAGGATTATCCAATTTTGTTTTTGCTCAAGCAATCCATGAAGAATACATTACCTAGAAATACTGATTTGATGTCATAGATTTTCTTTCATAGACCAGCAGGTAATTGCAGTTTTCCAGTTCACAGAAGAGACAGTTCAATATTACAAAAACAAGTAAATTGACCTCATATGAGCAGTTAATTGGCTGCTGCTGAAAAATGCAGTTTTCTACAAAATCCAGTATCTGGCATTGGCTTTAGTTTCCTGAGAACATCTGTTTTCATTTATTTAAAAAAAAGTTCAAGTTGCTAAAACTCATGTTATTGGCATGCATGTTTAGAAGAAGCAAGAAGAGCTGGGTTTTAAAATGGCTGCTTTTTAAAACTCTCTTCCCAGCTTAGATGTTTCATACCTATTGTCTACCTCCTTCTTCTAATGATATTTTGACACCCCCACCCCCTTTGCCAGTTCTGGAAAAAGGAGAAATTGTCCTAAAGCAATATTAATTTTGACAGTGCTTTTTTGTTGTCTTTATGTTAAATAAGCTCACTTCCTGAGATATCTTATGTTATTTTCAGTGCAGTAAATTGCACTCTTCTGACATTGCATGGAGGGAGTTTCCTTGATGCTGTACCTGGGCTGTTTTTCTCTCTTTCAAGACTTTAACCAATCATATTTTCTACATTTACTGACTGTATAAATTTACTGTGTAAATGACATTCCTTTTCCTTTTTTTCACCTCCTGATTCCCACCTACAGTTACAGCATTGTGAATACAGAGGTGTTGCGAAAGATGTTTGCGCATGCGATGGCACCCATTTTGGAGGAGCTGAAGCAGCGGGCCCAATCAAAAGGCATATGCCCCAGCTGCCAGTGTTTGCAGAAGACGATGGCACAGCGAGGCAGAGTAGACCAAGGGTGTCAAACCAGGAAACCGCGCTCATCCCATTGCTGGCAAAGGGGAAAAAGCTCCGATACGTTGCGAAGCATCATGTGATGTCACAAACTTGACATGTCTAGAATAGACTAACCTCAAACCCTCCAGCCCCCAATAAAATGTTTCCAGAGTGCAATCTTTCTGGAGCATTTTTCTAACCCTAAGTGGATGCAGGCCAGATTGAGATGGCCATGTACTGGGAAGTCTAGAAGCAAATTCACCTTGGCTATGGATCTACCATCTGCAAAGCTGCCATATCCTGAATCTTGTTCCCATTCTATTCTGACTTCAGTTCACCAAAATCTCTTGCAGAAGTTTATCTAAACCAGTGGTTCTCAACCTTTTTAATGCTGCAACCCCCAACCGGTAGTAAGTCGAGGACTACTCAATCGGTCGTAAGTCGAGAACTACTCAGCTGGTGCAGCACCGTTTGCAGAATGGGACTTTTGGCGGGCTCAGCAGGGCAGAGACAGCCTGGACAATTCCTATTGGCTTTTGAAAGCCAATAGAATTAGACTCTATTCAAGAGAGTCTATTCTATTGGCTTTCAAAAGCCAATAGAATAAAAGGGAGTAGCACAGCTAAGGAAAAGGGGGGAAAAATGGCGGACTGCGTTGTTTGGCGACCCCCGTGAAATGGTCGTTCAACCCCAAATGGGGTCCCGACCCACAGGTTGAGAACCACTGGTCTAAACACTACTAAAAATAGTTTGAGAGATTGGAAGATGAACCTGTGATCTTCAGTGAGCAAAGCACAATTGCTTTGTCACTAAGCTTTTCTTCCTCTCACCTTGGCTCATACAGGGAATTCAGTTCATAGTCCAAGAGTTAAATGCAGCCTCTGAAAATACTGTATGTGCTTTCCTGAGCAATTCTGTTACTGCTGAATGGTAGATTTAATGTGACTGAAAGTGAAAGTTATTACATTGACAGGGAACAATCAGTGATATTAATTGTAATGATAAATGTAAATTAAATTTTGTTTTCTCCTGGCCCTGTTGATTTTGATGAGTGAAGCCTGTATATTTTTTTTCAAGTCTAAATGTGACTCAAAGCTAATTAGTGCCACACTAATTAACTGGTTTAACTAACTAACTGGTTTTTGACCAGGTCCTCAATGAGTGATTTTCCTGTGCACTTTTATGTTGCTCTTTTTATCATTTGTATCCATTTTCCTATGAATAATTGTTCTCATATTTTATAGGGAGCATAATAGCACTAATGTTTGTGTAGGACAGTAAAACAATGTGAAAAATGTTAGCTAAACATCAGGCTTTCTCTTGGACAAGAAATCTAAAGGCATTGAAGGAAAAAAAATCTTCCAAAAATAGTGAATTCTGTCTGATGCCATATAACCCCTGTGTAAGTTTCAGATTTTTGTATATGGGATCTCAGAAGGTGGTGTGGAGGATGTTTTTGGGGGGGGGGCAGTTGCAACACCACTACTGAGCCTCTGCTGGACAAATGTGCCAAAGTCATTCATCAGTTTGAGGCTATGTATGCAGATCTCATAAAAACTCAAAGCAGGAATCACCACATTTGGGAACTTAAACAAGGATGCCACTCAGTGGCTGAATATATAAGTACATTTAAATTAATTTCTAAGAATTTGACAGAATAATGCTGCACATATCAATTTAAAGAAGATTGATAGATGAAACTTTAAATGATCTAGCTGGAACTGTCCAGGTCTCTTGAAAGAACCAATATGGCTGTGTCTTCATATCAATGGGTGCTTACAGTGGATCTTAAGCAACAACATGTTGTCAAGCCTAAATCTCCCTGCCGATCGATCGATGCTTATCTCTGAACATACATCTTCAGAGATAGGTTAGGGGGCTCATCCTCAATTGACTGAAACGGGAAAGGCTCAAAGGTGCAGAGAGAGTTGTATTTATACTGTGAGGTCCAGGGATATCTAATTACCACATGCCCTGCCAAGACCATTTGCTTGGCTTTGCCAATTATTATAGAAAATATATACATTATTTTGTAGATTTCACTGCACCTGTGGCCTTGCCCATTGCTCAGAAAAACATCAATTTGGAATGAAGATGCACAACATGCTTCTGGAGCTTTAAAGATTGCTTTTGCATCAAAATATATCCTCTTCCAGATATGGCTATGCGCTGGTACTAGTAGACCAGGGCTTTTCAACCTTTTCACCCATTGTACCACTTTTAGGATATGGCAATATCCAAGTACCACCAGTCGCCTAGCAAGGTGTCAAAAACCTGATGACCAAAAAAAAAAAAAAAAGAAAGAAAAAAGTGATAAAGTACAGGTAGTCCTTGACTTACAACAGTTTGCTTAGTGACTGTTCGAAGTTACAATGGCATTGAAAAAAGTGCCCCCAAGGCACAGCCGAGCAAGACACCTGCCTGCCTGCCCGGTGGCGCTCCCATTCCCCTTCCCCGCTACCACTTTTCTAGGATGGTTGTGTACCACGTGCCAGGTGCCAATGTACCACAGGTGGTACCCGTACCACTGGTTGAAAAGCCCTGCCCTATACTATACCTGTACATTTGGTTTTTCTTGCCTAAATGTAGAACCTTACTTTTTTCACCATTGAATTTCATTTTGTTAGATAGCGCCCAGGGTTCAAGTCTGTCCAGGTCCTCCTGTATCTTAAGCCTATCTTCTGGAGTGTTGGCTATTCTTGCCAGCTTGGTGTCGTCTGCAAATTTGATGAATTCCCCATCTATCCCCTTGTCCAAATCGTTGATGAAGATGTTGAAGAGCACTGGGCCTAGAACAGAGCCCCGGGTACCCCACTACACACTTCCCTCCATGTAGATGCAGTTCCGTTGAGGACCACACGCTGAGTACAGCCGGTCAGCCAGCTACGAATCCATCTGGTGGTGATGCTGTCTAACCCACATTTTTCTATCTTATCAAGTAGTAGGTTATGATCTACTTTATCAAATGCCTTACTGAAGTCCAAGTAAATTATATCCACAGCATTCCTCTGATCCACTAATTTTGTCACTTGGTCAAAGAATGCAATAAGGTTTGTCTGGCATGATCTGTTTTTGACAAACCCATGTTGGCTTTTAGTAGTGATTTTGTTCGCTGATTTCGTTGTTTGATTATCTTTTCCAGAATCTTCCCAGGAATTGAGGTTAGGCTGATAGGTCTGTAATTTCCTGGATCCATTTTTTTTTCCTTTTTTGAAGATGAGAACTTAAAAAACTGCAGTGACGACCTCTGGAGAGTCAGCTCATAAATCTAAAACTCACATGTTGTTCTTATCTTGGTACAGCCAGATGGAATCTAGCATCTAACTAGACTTTGGATATTGCCATCATCCAGAGATCTGCAGAATAGACCTAGAAAACTATACATTTAGGGACCCATGTTTTCTTGTGAAATGTAGGCAGTGTTATAATTACCAAACCATCAATGGGTGTTGGGCTGGGGACTCAGTCTCTTAGGCCTTTCCTGCATCGATTGTGAAACATATAAACCCTTTACTTTATAGCATTTCAGTAATGGTTTAAAATGGTCTTAAAATGCAGTGTTTTAAAATTGTTGTAAACTGTGTGGTTATAAACTCCTTTCTTCCTGTGCAGCTGAAACAAAGTGAGGTTTGCTAACTTTTGCCCACTCAGGAAAGCTGAAGGAATAAAGAAGTGATCTACTGCCCAAATGAAGGCTTATTCCCATTTCTGTTAAAGTGAAGATTGGCTACCAGAGAAGGTGAGTCATCAGAAGGACTGGATGTTTTCTTTCCTCCCAAGCTTACCTCTTGATAGCCATCACTGATGTGCTCCTTGCCTTCTGCAGTGACATCACTTTTACATCATCAAATTCTACTCTGAAAATTCTCTTTGCATCTCAGAATGTCCAGGGTTACCGTAGGGACAGGAATCAACACTTTTGAATTATTCCAGCTACTGACCACTCCTTACCAGATGCTAATTAGTTAGCAGGCGGATTCAGTGTCTCCCATCATTTGAAAGACATTTTTTTCTCCATCATGACAGGTAGGAATTGGGCCATCTTGCTTTTTGAAGGAATCCCTTGTTTCTTCAGAAAGCACATTCAAAGCCAAATAGTTTGCATTGCAGAGGCATAGTTGGGGAAAGAAGAAGGTTTGGAAATGGGCTATGCAAGAGAAGGAAATGGAAACCATGATAGAAAGTAAGTCAGAAGAAAACTAATTGGGTAAGTCACCTCTAAACCCAATTTCAGAAATTCTTGACTCCTTTTTCTTGGATTTGCTCATATATTGGGCACTTTATTCAGTGGGACATCTGCTGCCCATAGATGTTTCTCAAAGTATTTTTTAATAGAAATAGATTTTTAATTTTATTTCCTCATCACATCTAAACTTTAGCAGAGGGACTGATGGAACAGAAAGAAGAAAAAAAAATAGGCATCACAAAGCAGGAAAACCAATCTGCTGAACTGCCTTGATTTATTTTTCTGTGGCCCAGGAATGTCCTTTTAAATTTTTAGGAGGAAAGTCAAGTCCTTGAGGGGGGGTCACTATTTTTTACTTTTTAGCACTAAGGAAATAACATGTTGAGATTCTTAAAGAACTCATGCAAACCACCAATTTAACCAAATACAGTATAGAATAACTTCAAACACAAGAAAGAAGTAGGAAAACAATAGCAAATTCATAGAGATATAATTGGAAGGGACCTAAGAAGACCTGATGCCAGGATTGACTATACTGTTCATGATGGATGACCATTGCCTCCTTACTGGTCATTAGATTTTGAATAATTGAGTACTGGGAAGGAATACAATAGCAGGAAAACATTCAGACAGATGTTGAGAAGAAACTGTTAAAGCCTCCACTATCTGATTGAGGTCCTCGGTGAACAATCCTCTACTGCATAATCAATTTTGGAGAAGAAGCAAAGTGATCCCTATTGGGTTGAGTGAGAATTTGAGGAAGAAGAGGAAGAGCTGGTGGTAATTGTTCAGGTATCCTAGAGATTCAGATTTCAGAATGGCAACATTTCAGCAGGAACTTTGAATAATTAAGAAAATACCTGTCTATCACTCTCTCCCAGCTTCCAGACAGCATTCTTGCTTTTCTGTACAGGATTACAGGTAGTCCTCAATTTACAACAATTCATTTAGTGACCATTTGAAGTTACAGCGGCAGTGAAAAAAATGA